CTCCTGGCCACTCTTACTCCACATAACACATGGCAATCTGGCTACACCAATCCTCCAACATTGGATAGCAACGGTTACTCTCAACCCAAAATACTTCTGATTTCAAATAGCAGTATGTAATGGGTCAGAACAAAAGGGGGGGGGGAGTCCTCTTTTTCTGTGAGCCATCAAGCATGTTTCTTTGGATAGACCTGGTCATCAAACACTTTCTCACTCAAATTCCTTGTGGTCATCGCTTCGCACTCATAGTAGCACTGCCTTGTCAGTACCAACCAGCAGGTAATCTTCTTGATGGTGCATTTGGGCAGGGACCCTTCAGGAAGCGTTTGGGTGGCATTTTTCATCCACTGGTCTCAATTTTTTCTTTTATTATTTCTGCTTCATCATTTTTGCCTGAGATATATGAGAACTCCGTGGCTGTGTTTACATAACAATTTGTTCTTAATATTTTCTGGCGGTTTTTACCTCATGTGGAAGCATACGTCATGCCTTCTTGAGCACTTCTGAAGAAGAGATTTTTGTTGATCTCAAAACGCGTCAAGTATGAAACATGCGTGATCCATTATTAGATTTGCAATACCATCTCTGATGACACCGCCGCAATATGTATTATAGTTTTATATTTATTTTTGAAGATTGTAAAAATACAATTTCATACTGTTTTTATATAAAATCTATTTCGAATTGTTGAAATTTATCATATAAGTAAATTATGCCATTAAAGCCCCACCAAAAAAGAGGACTTTTCCCCCACTTGTATTCTTTGGGGATGTTGGCACTTTGTGTATTATATCCCTTCCTCTCTCTGGGTCAGAACAAAAAGGCATCCATAGTGTATTACAGTATTAAAATCAGCTATTTATTCAATAAAAAAGCGCATACACAAATGTAGTATATCAACATTTTCTCCTTCTACATCAGTATTTGCTCACCCAAGATGGCCACTTGGCAACTTCCGGTCTACGCCTGATGTCACTTCATGACGCGTTTCATCACTTCCAACTTTATCAAAGGATCCTTTGTCCTTGTTGATATACGATGTTTGTGTGTAAGTGCTTTTTTATTAAATAAATAGCTCCCACACTTTGGAGTGTGGGAGGAAACCAGTGTACCTAGAGGAAACCCACACAGGCACAGGGAGAACATGCAAATTCCAGGCAGGTTAAACCATGGTTGGCATTCAAACCAACAACCCTAGTGCAGCTAGGTGGAAGAGCTAACCATTTGGTCACTATACTGCCCTGACATTAGCTCCCCTCCCCCACCCACCAGGTTACGCATCCTAGAAGGCTTTGGAGATATATAGAACACAATGGGGGCTTCATCAGGCAGCTAGCTGCTAGGATCTGGATGGGATTGCCAACCTCCTGCTCATGTCACAATCAAGATGGTGGCACAAAACTCGTGTCATTTAAGGTAAGAGGGGGATAACCTGTCCAAAACTGAGCTCCTGGTCTTCTATCCCCCGCGCCCCCCCCCCCCCCCGATCCTCTCCATCACTACTAACCATGCCACCATCACTCCCACCCCACTTTCCAAGGTCCTGGGTGTCACCCTGGACTCCCACCTCTCCTTCCTACCCCACGTCCAAGTGCTCTCAAGATCATGCAGGCTCCACCTCCGCAACATCTCCAGGATACGTACATTCCTCACCCCAGACACTACCAAACTACTCGTGCACTCCCTCGTCATCTCACACGCCTGGACTACTGCAACTCCCTCGTCACCGGCCTACCCAAACGAACGCTAACCCCACTCCAGTCGATCATGAACTCAGCGGCGAGACTCATCCACCTCACTAACCGCTCCACATCTGCCTCCCCCCTCTGCCAATCACTTCACTGGCTCCCGATTGCCCAACGCATCAAATTCAAACTACTAACCCTGACCTACAAAGCCATCCACAATGCTGCCCCAACCTACTTAACTGACCTGATACCCAAATACTACCCTACCCGTGCCCTTCGCTCCTCTCAAGACCTCCTACTCTCTAGCTCCCTGATCTCCTCCTCCCACGCCCGACTGCAAGACTTCTCCAGGACCTCCCCCATCCTCTGGAATTCCCTACCCCAATCCATCAGACTGTCACCCACCCTCACCACCTTCAGGCGCACCCTGAAGGCCCACCTCTTCAGGGAGGCCTACGCCTCCCTCACCTAACATCTGACCTCCACTCCTCCCACAACCTCATCCCCCACAGGCACTTCCTCCTGTACCACTATCCCCTCCCTCCTAGATTGTAAGCTCGAAAGAGCAGGGCCCTCGAACCCCTCGTGTATCGCACTGTCTCTGTCTTGTCTCATGTTCTGTCCCCCTGCCTTTGTACAGCGCTGAGCAAACCCTTTGGCTCTATATAAATACTATATAATAATAATATAATAAAAAATAAAACTAACCCCCAAGGGGGTAAGGTTCCACTTTACGTTTTATATAATCCAAATGTAATCTCCACAGCACACATTTGTTAAAACAGAACAAATTTTAAATATAACGAGATACCAAAAAATATACAAAAATTGGATAACTTACACATAAAAACAGCACAAAAATAGATGTGAACAAGAACACATCATGGAACAAAATGCAACCTTGCATTCATTTATCAGGCCAATGGCAGTGCATTCCAGACTCCTAATTCTGCTTTAATGTTGATTTCACATGACCGCAAGCTCATGCCTGAGGTTTAGCCAGTCCAGTTTCACAGTGTCCTCACTAGGGCGCCTTAAGCCTCACCCACATGCTGCCATTACAACAGTTATTGGTCAGCAGTTCTTTCCTAGTTATAAGCATGGTGGCTTAGTGGTTAGCACGTCTACCTTACAGCACTGTGGTCCTTGGTTTGAGTCTTGATTGGGACACTATCTGCATGAAGTATGGATGTTTTCCCTGTACTGGAGTGGGTTTCCTTTGGTCTACTCCCGTGCTCCAAAGACTTTCTGTTTAGTTACTTGATTCCTGTCTAAAATTGCCTCTAGTATGATATTACTTCTATTGAGGTTGCCCAAGACGGTTGCCTCGCCATTACTACATCAAAAGATACAGTGCTTCGAGTCCCCAGAGAGAAAATCCCTTTAGAAATATAATTTTTAAAGGAGTCTATGGCTACATGAAGACGTGCCCAACAATAAAGTTAAGACTCCAGCTTTTCATTTTTCTTAATTGCCACCATGACAAGAATGGAAGGAAATGCTCCAATTGGGACAAGTGTTCTACTGACTACAATCTAAGATGGGAATTCTCCTCTTTTTAGGGAGACTCCCTTTAAATTCATGTTAAATATCTAGAACAGGAGATGGAGGGGCAACCTCCCAGCAGGACGTAGGCTTCAAAAAAATAACCCAACATGGGTTTTAACCTTTCAAAAGCTAAAAATAGATTCACTTTCTCATGCATCTGCCTGAGATCCTAGTGATTGGCTTACATCTGCCTTAAAAATGGAAACCAGTGAGAGCAGTTCTATTCCTCTTGGTTGTGAAGTTGTAACCAGAGACTTTTTTTATGGGGTTCAAGACATGAGAGACGGGTGATTGCCCACTCAATGCATAAGAGGCTTTCCCCTGCAAGAGCTCTATCTTTCCACATGCTGGTTCTTCTAGAACACTATTCTTATCTCTCTTGTACCGGACTGGAAGCCATGCTCACAATTCAATAATTCTGTCAAGTAATATCTCACACTTGCGATGCAGTGCTGGACTTTGATTAACTGCGGCGGCAGTACATTTTGCTTCCATGGAAATGAATATAAACACCTAACCGTGTTTAAAAAATAAATTCTTATTTGCACGCTGTTTCTTGACTTTATGTGCTACTTTGAAGGTCAAAATAATCTGTTTGAAAACATGATAAAAAAACATGTTGACATAAAAGAAATGAAAAATAGTTTTCAGGCAACATCCTTGCCATTGGTGGCCTCTATAATCTCTTTGTGAAGCCACTCTTTGATTTTGTATCTCTTCCTCGTGTGTCTGTTTTGTTCTGAAGCTTGGGGCTCCTAAGATTGGACTCTTCAAATATTTATCTAATGTGTTTGTAGGCCGTGGTTCTCAAAGGTGTACAAGGAAAAAAATGGAGAGCACTCCAAAGAGTCCAGTACAAAAATAAGAGGAGAGGCAGGAGAGCCCTTATAGTCAGTATATGAATGGTGTTTGTGTGTAGTATATGTTCTTTAAAAAAGATGAAAGTATGCAAGAAAAGATACAATTTGTATTGGGCCAGGTTGCGAATGACTTAGTTGTATAGTTCATGCAAACTCTCGGGTGGGCGTGTGGAGAATTCTTCTGTCTCCGGACAGGCAAAAGGTAGGTCGCTTTGGAGACTCCAGTCAATGGTCCTCATGGGAGTCATCAAGGGGGTGGTAAACTGGTTTATAGAAAAGAAAAAATCTCAATTCTCCGTAGAGCAGAGCTGTTTATAGTGACTTTGTTTGATGTTTGGGAATGGGTCAAAATCTTCGTTGTCAACATGGACATGGAATCTTTTTATTCCTTAACACCAAAAATGTGCTTCATAGCTAAAATATGAAGTTTCCTTAGTTTGGCAGCTGTAACGTACCTGAGAGGAGACCAAGAGGATGTGGGCAGCCTCTCTGTCCAAGCAGGTGAAAGTGCTGGAGGATGTAGTGCAGTTTGTAGATCCTCCAATTGGAGATGCGGGCCAGGAAGATCCAGCAGAATGTGCAAGTAAGAATGTCAGACTCAGAGTCAGCAGGAGAATTAGCAGGAGTTAAAGGGGAACTCTGGCTTTTCTCAGGATGGCAAAACTCATTGTGATGTTAGCAAGCGTGTAGCAGGACTACTGATAGAAAAGCTGTGTCAGCTTGTAAGGCAAGTAGGCACTCAACAATGTTATGGACCAGAATCAGAGGAAGAAGTGAAGTCGCAGATCAAGCTAAGATAAGTAATGAGCTGGCAATGAAGTACAACATCAAGGTCAGGGATGAAGCCGAGGTCAGGAATGTGCCTGGCTAATGTTTGTGCAGAGATATACACTCACCAGCCATATTATTAGGTACACCCAGGGGGCGGACTGACCATTCAAGCACTCGGGCACTGCCTGAGGACCCAGGGTCAGTCAGGAACCCCATGAAATGCCCCTGTTACCTTTTTGTAGGCTTTTTTGGGTGTACTTTGAGTGTGGGCAAGGACACGGGCCCCATGATCCCCTATTGCCCTGGGGCCCCATAAGTTGTCAGTCCGCCCCTGGGTACACCTTTTCAATTGCTTGGTAACACAAATTGCTAATCAGCCACTCACATGGCAACAGCTCAATACGACCTGCTGAAGTTCAAACCAATCATTAGAATGAGAAAGAAAGGGGATTTAAGTGACTTTGAATGTGGCATGGTTGCTGGCACCAGATGGGCATTTCAAAACCTCCTGATCTACTGGGATTTTCACACACAGCCATCTCTAGAATTTACAGAAAATGGTCCGAAAAAGAGAAACAATCCAGTGAGCGGCAGTTGTGTGGATGAAAATGCTTTGTTGACGTCAGAGGTCAGAGGAGAATGGGCAGACTGGTTGGAGGTGATAGAAAGGCAACAGTAACTCAAATAACCACTCTTCACAACCAAGGACACAGAACACCATCTCTGAATGCACACCAGGGGTATCCAAACTGTGGCCCTCCAGGTGTTGAGCAACTGCAAGTCCCATGAGGCCTTGCAAGACTCTGACAGCCACAGGCAAGACTCCCAGAGGCAGAGACATGACGGGACTTGTAGTACTTCAACCCTCTTGTATTGAACTGTATTGTTGCTGTATTGTCTACCGTTATATTGTAAAGTTGAGCAAACTGTTGGCGCTATATAAATCCTGTAGAATAATAATAATAATAATTCATTTTGAAAAAAAAACACCTGGTATTTCTGGCAGTGGCCATCTTGAGTAAGGGCAGATGATTTATGTAGCATTTACCTCCTGGAATCCATCTGCCCTTAACTCAGGCATTGGCTTAGCTGAGATCCCCCCCCTCCTGAAGACTGCTGATATACATGACATCATTTTCCTAGGCATGGAAACCAGGAAGTAACAGAAAAAGTGTAAACATAAACGTTTAACCATTTGACGCCTGGCCAATAGCCGTATGGCGGCCGGAAAAATGCACTAGCTTTCCGGGAGACCGCCATTTGGCGTACTCCCTCACATGCACAGTTCGCGCGCTTGCAGAGCCACACAGCAGCACGATCTGTCACCGGCCGTGTACCTCGGACACGGCCGATGACAGATCTGAGTATCGGCCCTGTGACCAATCACAGCAGGTCACATGACAGTTGTATACAATGGATGGCTTCATTCATGCCATCCATTGTATACTAGTGTCTAGCTGTGAATGGTCACAGCTAATCACATGCACATGTCATGTGATTAGCTGTGGCCATATCACAGCTAAGCACAAAAAAAAACCCCTGAATGAATCGATGTCATTCAGGTAAATGCTTGCTTATAGTAAAGTAATTCTTTGCTATAAGCAAATTGTGTAAAAAAAAAAAAAAAATGCTGATCACTTCCCCAAAGTAGTACAATGTTACTATGGTAACATTGTACTACTTTGGACATAGTGAAATATGAAAAAAAATCTTAAAAAAAAAAAAAAAAATGTAATAAATTTAAAATAATAAAAAAGTTTTAAAAAATTAAAAAATATATATTTGTTTTTTCACACTGTCACCAGTCAGTGTCCCTGATCACCGCCATGCCAGTTATATGATGACGCTGTACTGCACTGGTGACGATATGTAAAAAAATATTGTGAAAATAATTTTTTTACTTTTTCATTTTCCGAAAAATTATGACAAAAAAAAATACAACTTCAAAAAACTCGCCATGCCTCTTATGAAGTACGTCGGACTGTCTACTCTGCAAAAAGGGGTCATTTGGGGGATATCTGTACTGTTCTGACATTCTTGGACCTCAAGAAATTAGATTGGTCGTCAGTACTTCAGGATTGATCAATATTCAGATCTATACCATAGTTTGTGAACTCTATAACTTTCCTACAAGCTAAAAAATACAGCCTAATTTGGGTTATTTTCACCAAAGACATGTAGTAGAATACATCTCGGCCTAAATTTATGAAGAACAATTATTTTTTTTGTTAATTTAGCAAAAAATAAAAACCCCAGCGATTGATTAAATACCACCAAAAGAAAGCTCTAGTTGTGTGAAGAAAATGATAGAATTTTAGTTTGGGTACAATGTTGTATGACCGCGCAATTGTTATTCAAAGTGTGAGAGCGCTGAAACCTGAAAACTGGCCTGGGCAGGAAGGTGTAAAATTGCCAGGTATTGAATTGGTTAAAACAAGTAAATAATAGTATACTTCCCTATCTATTTACTAATGCTAGCAGCATAAATGTGGAATAAACTCCCTCAAGGATTCTTTCTTGTATACACAGAATATAACTGGATATAACATTTATAGGTAAAGTTGATCCAGGGAATATCCGATTGCCTCTCGGGGGATCAGGAAGGAATTTTTTTCCCAGCAGGAGCAAATTGGATCATGCTTTGCTGTTTTTTTTTGCCTTCCTCTGGATCAACTGTGGGTGTAGGATTATAACTTTTTTTTTTTTTTTTTAATGGTTGAACTGGATGGATTTATGTCTTTTTTCAGCCAGACTAACTATGTAACTATGTCTGTATGTGAGGATTAGACATAGTCCATGCAGATTGAGAGAGTGAAGTTCCAATTTAAGGAAATATGACATTTCCCCATCACCATCATTTTTCCAAGTCAGCTGGCTAGTAGGAATTCCCGATAGTGATGTTCACACAATAGTTTTGTGCTTGCTGGTTTTCATGTCCAATTAAAAATAACGACCTTAAGCAATTCCTAAACATCAATACACGTCACTACAATTGCCATTCAAACAGTTGACATAAATTTTTCTTATCTATTATTAACCAGCATTTCTCTAACACTTACAGTGATGAGTAAAATCATTTATTATTACCAGTTTTGAGACTTTGGCCAAATTTGCCATTTCGGTGAAATTAATTGGATAAAAAAAACCTTACATGTATTGTATATGAAACTTTTTTTAAGTGCAAGTAAACATATAAATGTTATAAACCATACCTTACTAAAATATATATTTATATTGCTTTTGCATCTTATCCATCCATGTGGTTGTATACAATTTCTATATATGCATTTTTATATATATATATATATATATATATATATATATATATATATATATATATATATAGTATATTTTTATACATATATATCTAAAATGCATATATAGAAACTGTATACAACTGCATGGATGGATAAGATGCAAAAGCAATATAAATATATATTTTATTAAGGTATGGTTTATAACATTTATATGTTTACTTGCACTTAAAAAAAGTTCCATATACAATACATTTAAGGTTTTTTTTATCCAATAAATTTCACCGAAATGGCAAATTTACAAATTTATATTTTTTTATATATACAGTTGTGTTCAAAATAATAGCAGTGTGTTTAAAAAAGTGAATAAAGCTCAAAATCCTTCTAATAGCTTTTATTTCCATACACACAAATGCATTGGGAACACGACACATTCTATTCCAAATCAAAACATGAAGAAAAATACATCAAATTTGTGTTGTTCCTCTAAAAAAATTGAAGAAAAGTGAATATTAGACTGTTCAAAAAAATAGCAGTGTTTGTATTCTTCTTTACAAACTCAAACATTCACTATATAAACTGAGAAATGTTTGAAGATTTTGCTTTCCTTTGAATGACTTCATGAATATTTGGTTGTAGTCGCACTGTTTGTGAGAACTGCTGTACATCTGTGTTGCATGGAGTCACCCAACTTCTGGCCCCTGTGATCAGGTATTCCAGCCCAGGATGATTGGACGACATTCCACAGTTCTTCTCTATTTCTTGGTTCGGCCTCAGAAACTGCATTTTTGATGTCACCCCACAAGTTTTCTATTGGATGAAGATCCGGGGATTGGGCTGGCCACTCCATAACGTCAATCTTGTTGGTCTGGAACCAAGATGTTGCACATGTTTACTGGTGTGTTTGGGGTCGGTTTTCTTGTTGGAACACCCATTTCAAGGGCATTTCCTCTTCAGCATAAGGCAGCATGATCTCTTCAAGTATTCTGATGTATTCAAACTGATCCATGATCCCTGGTATGCGATAAATAGGCCCAACACCGTAGTATGAGAAACATCCCCATATCATATTGCTTGCACCACCATGCTTCACTGTCTTCACAGTGTACTGTGGCTTGAATTCAGTGTTTGGGGGTCGTCTGACAAACTGTCTCCGGCCACTAGACCCAAAAAGAACAATCTTACTTTCATCAGTCCACAAAATGTTGCGCCATTTCTCTTTAGGCCAGTCAATGTGCTCTTTGGCAATTGTACCCTCTTCAGCACATGTCTTTTTTTCCAACAGTGGGACTTTGCGGGGGCTTCTTGCAGATAGCTTGGCTTCACATAGGCGTCTTCTAATTGTAACAGTCCTCACAGGGAACGTCACACCTTCTTTCATCTTCATGGAGCTGATTGTTGGCTGAGTCTGCGCCATTTTGGCTATTCTTCTATACATTCGAATGGTAGTTTTTCGATTTTCTTCCTCGTCTTTCAGGTTTTGGTTGCCATTTTAAAGCATTTGCGATCATTTTAGCTGAGCAGCCTATCAATTTCTGCACTTCTTTATATGTTTTCCCCTCTCCAATCAACTTTTTAATCAAGATACGTTGTTCTTCTGAACAATGTCTGGAACGACCCATTTTCCTCAGAATTTCAGAGAGAAATGCACTGTAACCAGCATGTACAACATTTGCTGCCTTCCTTCCTTAAATAAGGGCAATAATTGCCACCTGTTTTTCAAAGAATGAATGACCTCACTAATAGAACTCCACACTGCTATTATTTTGAACACGCCCCTTTCAATGAGTGAATCAATGACACAGAATCAGCAGCATGCATGTCATGACTGTTGGGTCTATTGGATTTCTATTACTCTACTACACCTGCTAGGAAATTATTTGCCATGTAGAAATATCATTTCTACCAAAAACAGTGATTGATCCGGTTAGTGATGTCTGACTGCTATTATTTTAAACACAACTGTGTATATATAGATATATATATATATATATACATATATCTATCTATCTATATATATAGATATATATATACATATATAGTATGTATATATAGAAACTGTATACAAATGGATGGATTCTATATATACATACTATATATAT